GAGAGAGAGAGAGAGTGTGTGTGCATGTGTGTGTGAGAGAGAGAGCTAAAGAGAGGGTGTGTCAGAGAGAGAGAGAGAGAGAGAGAGAGAGAGAGAGAGAGAGAGAGAGAGAGAGAGAGAGAGAGAGAGCTCTGCCGTTGTTGCTGAGGCTGCTGCTGTTGCTTTTGGTGCTGTTGTCCAGCAGTGGAAATGCCAACTGAAGGCAGTAGCTTGATTGAGGTTGCACAGGGTAGTACAATGGCGAGGTTTGTGCTGAGATCATCGGATTGTGCTGGGACTGTGGACTGTGGTAGAATTACGGCAAGCCACTGGTGAACTAGTTTGGCAGTTGTAAGAGGAGGTGGAAAATAATATAAGTGATGGGCATGCATGTTGGGCTATGGTTAGCAGAATTAAAGTACTATGGGTCCTTCTCAGAGCAATGCTGGGCGTTTTTACGTGTTTTGAAAAAGAATTCAAGTACTATGAGGGGTCCTTCTCAGAGCAATGCTGGCATTGCTGGGTGTTTTTACGTGTTTTGAAACAATCTTCCCAAATACTGGGTGTTTTGACGTGTTATTGAAACAATGTCCAGAAGACATTATGACTCTGAATGAAGTGATGGTCAGAAACAACAGACTTTAGTTCATGCAGGTCTTCTGGCAGGGTCCCCTAACGTGCACTCTGTGTTTGTTGTTTATTGACTGCTGCAATGCAGTCCAGGTCTCTTGAGCAGAAGTTTAACCAGGAGAGGGAGGAGTACCGGAGCCGGATGCTGGAAATGGAAACTAAATTAAGGGACAGAACAAAGGAGCACCAGGAGGCTCAGAACAAGCTCACAGAGCTTGCTGCGGACATAGAGTCCATGCAAAGTGACCTGAAAGAAATCGAAGACCTCAGGGAGATGAAGGAGGTAAGGTGCTGCAGTAGATGATATGACGGAGAAATGTGTTTTTTTCTTTGTGCATGCAAAATGCACTGATAACCACGGCTGGGCCGGCAACCGGCCGGTTGAGCTGGCCTGGTCCAACCGGAAAACCA